ATTAAATCCCCTCCCGCTGATCTGTGGCCGGGTTTAAAGTCCAGAGCAGCGATCATTAGGAGACTTCACAGTCTCCGGGACCAGGCCTGCCCTCAGAGTTATCTCTGGAGAAGTCGGGGGGGCGGTGACCCCTGACCCCCAGGAGGCCGTCCTCGCGGCCACAGGCAGACTCTCGGGCACCCGAAATGTGGACCTGTGACAGAAAGACCCCTCACATGACGGCCAGCTCACTTAGAAGTCATGAAGCAGTTATTTACCCCTCAGCTTTTCTTTTTTAGCTTTATTTTTCTTTGTTGACAATTACAAGTGGTAAAAAAGAAGAGGAAAAAACAAACACACACAAAGCTAAATACTGTCTGGATTTTTAAACTTTATTTTTCTTTGTTGACAATTACAAGGTTTGAAAAAGAAAAAAGGAGAGGAAAAAACAAACACACACAACATAAACAAAACTATATACTGTCCGGATTTTGAAACTTTATTTTACTTTGTTGACAATTACAAGTTGTAAAAAAGAAGAGGAAAAAACAAAAACAAACACACACAACATAAACAAAACAATATACTGTGCGGACTGGGATATGACTCAAGCTGGTAAACAAATGCCCCATATGTTCAGTTAGTCACTGCAATGTAAATAATCCACTTTTCCACACTGGAGTCCATCTTTAGTCTTATTCTGTGGGTCAAGTCCTCCATGACATAAGTGTCCTTAAAAATGTCTTTTTTAAGGACAGGGGGGTCTTCTTTGTACCATATTTTTTGTAATTGTTTTTTTTACTGGCAGCTAGGGTTGTCAAAAGTATCGATACTCAAAAAAGTATCGATACTAAAACGTTGTATCACCATCAGGTCACCAATAGGAAGATTCCAAGCAAGAAAATCCTAATTGCTTCATGGCAATATAGACATTAATTTAAAAATAGTGAAATGAATCTTGCAAACATCGAATTAAACTCTATACATAATATTATGTTAAAATAGTGGATGTTAAATAGGTTTTTTTTGGGTCTTTGTATTTATCCTTGTGGTATCGAAAATGGTATCGAATATTTTCCCGAGTATCGACTTGAAAATTTTACTATCGTGACAACCCTACTGGCAGCGATCAGGATTTTAAACGGGTACCTGTCTGATTTAGACAAAATATATCCCGAGACGTTTCCAAAACGTGAGCGTCGATGGCACTGAAGCCTATGACTAAGTTGTTTTGTAGGGGATCCATTACTGGGTGTGTGTGTGTTTGATTTGGACTAACGGGAGCTGTGTATGTATGCGTAAGTAGTCGTGCGGGAGCCTCAAAGCGGCTTCCAGCACGATGAAACGTATCTGATGCTCTCCTGCTGCCACTCTGTCAGGAAGCATTTTCCTGAGTTTACC